TCCAACTCCTGGGCTTAAGCGAGTCTCCTGCCTCAGCCTCCCAAGTAGCTGGGACCACAGGCGCCTGCCACAGCGCCCGGCTATTTTTTGGTTGCAGCTGTTTTTGTTATTTGGCAGGCCAGGCTCGAACCTGCCACCTTAGGTGTATGTGGCTGACGCCTTAGCCACTTGAGCCACAGGCACGGAGCAGAATTTACAGCTCTTTTAGAACTTACAGCTCTTTTAGAATTTACTTAGCAGGCCTTCTGGTCTCTACAGGAAGACCCCCCCCCCAGCATGTTAAGACCAAAGACGCCACTGAGAGACCACCAGGGACACACATAAAAGCAAAGGAGCATCTTTATTTTCAAGCATATGCTCGGGTCACACCTCTGAACAGCATGACTGTGCAGAGGCGACCTTGTTACAGAAGTGACCCTGTTACAGAAGTGAAGGCCGTTTTTATACATTCTAGGGGTTACAGAGACTGGGTGATTGGTTCATTTCGGATCTGGTTGGGGATTGGTTATTAAGTCAATCCTATCATGGATTGGTTGGAACTCAATCCCAGACAGGATTGGTTGGGACTGAGGCTCCTTTCCACAGAAGAGCTGTGGCTCCACATTTTCTAGGAAGGGTCTCCTGTCTGTTTCTGACAAGGGGGGCTCTGCTCAGGTTGGCTGTCCCCTCCCTGGGTGGTTCTGCTTGTGGTTTTTCTCTGTCTTGGGTCTGGGGCTCAGTGTAGGGCCCACTTACAAAATAGAGTCTCTGCTGTCTCTTCATCTTCTTCTGGAAACCAGGTAGGAACAGAGTTTTTTGAGGTTAAATTGGGGGAACTAATGGAGTTTTAGGAGTCATGAGAAAAAGTTTCAGGGAAACTTTAATAGAGAAGTTTGGGATACCTAGGGTTTTGGCTTCCTGGGGAGAGAGGTGGGGTCAATCTTCCCCAGGAGAGAATTCTAGAAAGCCTGGATGCAGGGAAACTGACAAGAGAACTGCCTGAACAGGATAAGAGGAAGGAAAGAAGGGCAGCTCCTTTGCACTGTGGGAGGGGACTGGCCGCATCTCCACTTCCTCACCCTCACACCCGGCCCATCACTCTCTCTCACTTTCACCTCCCCCCAATACTGCTCACTCCAGTCAGAAATATAACTGCTTTGCAGCAGTCTACATGTTAGCTGTGCTCAGACTCTCAGCAAACATTCTGGGAGCCTCACCTGTGCCTGGCTTAAGGCTAAGCCCTGGGGACGTAGAATGGGTCATACTTGGTCCCTGCCTTCAAAGAACTCATAAGCCAGGAGGGGAGACAGGCACACATAGGGCAGCACAGTGTCACAAGGACAGTGACAGAGGACAGCAAAGGGTGATGTGGGAGCCCAGAGGACTCAGAGGGCTCCCTGGAAGAGGTGACTCCTAAGCTAAGGCTGAAAGAATGGGTGGCCAGGACAAGGGCATCCCAAGTACAGGGAAGAGGTGGGCAGAGCCCGGGGAAGGAAAGCAATGGAGCCCCACTAGGACCAGAAGCCAGGCAGAGGTGGTGGTCACATGGCTGAAGGCTCATGAAAGGTCAGGTCACAAAGGGCCTTGAAGGCCAGAGTAAGGACATTGGACTCTGTCTTGAGGGATATGGAGAGATGTTTTGTGTTTGTTTTTTTGCATTTTACCCCCAGATGTGTTCTCATCCCTTCTTTTGTTTATTTTTATCTTGTGAGGGTTTTTTTTTTTTTGGTTTGAGATATTTTTCCAGTCAATTTTGGCACAGAGGACTTATAAACAGGTAAGGAACATAACAGAAACACTTCTCCCTGCTCTGAGCAGGGGTGATGACAGTGGAGGCGGGGAGATTGGCAAGGAGACAGGTGCACACCTGAGCCAGGGCAGGGACTTGAGGTTGGGAAAAGGGAAGGAGAATCTTGGGACCCATGTTAGCATTAGTTGGCAAATGTGTGAATGTGCAAGTAGTTAAATGAATGAATACCTAGGTGACCATCATAGGTGATGACTGAATAAATAATCAAGATAACATATCACATGAAACTCTTGAAATGGTACGTTAACAGGAACCATCCTGGCTGGGTTCACTTGCTCATGCCTATAATCCTAGCACTCTGGGAGGCTGAGCCTGGCAGGTAGTCAGGAGTTCAAGACTAGCCTGAGAAAGAGCAAGACCCCGTCTTTACTAAAAATAAGAAAATTAGCTGGGGGTGGTACCTGTGGCTCAAAGGAGTAGAGTGCCAGCCCCATATACCGGAGGTGGCGGGTTCAAACCTGGTCCTGGTCAAAAACTGCGAAAAGAGAAAAAAAGAAAAGAAAAGAAAATTAGCTGGGTGTCATTGCGGGCACCTGTGACCCCACTTACTCAGGTGGCTGAGGCAGGAGGATTGCTTGAACCAAGGAATCTGAGGTTGCCCTGAGCTAGGCTGATTCCATAGCACTCTAGCCTGGAAGTCAGGCTAGAGTGTGACTCTATCTCCAAACAAAAACAAAATAAAGAATCTCTCCCACAGAAAACAGGAACCATCCTGAGTGAGATTAAGCCTAAAGAGGAATTTATGCTGGGCAAAAAACAAAAACAAGGCTCGGCGCCTATAGCTCAACCGGCTAAGGCGCCAGCCACGTACACCTAAGGTGGTGGGTTCGAATCCCCAGCCCGGACCTGCCAA